CCTCTGGAGTTGTACAACTTTTATACAAAAACCCATACATTGTTTTCTCGTGTAGCAAGCAGCTGTATTTTTACCTGTTTTCTGCAGTTTTCTGCTATTACATTGTTCATCATCCCTGTAGGAAAGTGTCTTAAGGCTTAGCTGAAACTGGCTGTTTTAAAAGCGCTATTGATCCCAGTCCCATGGGTTTGGCTGTGTTCTGTTCTTTCATGATTTAATTGGTTGCTTTATAGGCCAATTACACCCACTTGCAACTCGGAGGGAGCAGCAGCGTGCCACATTTGTACATTAGTAACTTGAGCCTCGACCTCACTGCCTCTGTAGCGTCGTGTTCTGTGTATGTATATGAAACAATATTCATACACTACTACTACTACTACACAGAGCTCTAAGTCACTGAAGGGGTTATGATCACACATTTCAAAACACATTTCTGGCTGCTCCAGTAGCCGTTGAGCCGCTGCTCATAACCATTCGAAACATGTCAAGGTGTGAAAAGCAGTTACCTCTGTCAAACCTGGAGGCAAACCTTCGGCTCACTGCCTCTGTAATTATACATTTGAAGTTCAGGAAGCTTTTTCTACAAACAGCACTTTAGGACAGGCCCAGAAAGCAAGCAAGACATGGGTGATGACAAACATTGCACTGGGAGGCTCTTTGTTGAGTAAGAGCCTTCACAAAAGAAAAAAGAAAAAACATCGAAAGAAAACCCTGCAGTGTTGTTGAGGATGAAAACCTCAAAACACAGTAAACCAACCTGTTAATATAAGACACACCCAAACCTGCATAATCAGAATTAATCTCTATTAATGTGTCCACACTACTATTTCATGTCAAAATGAATTGCGCTAATTAGCAAACCATGGCACGCTAACATGATAAACTTTATACCTGCTAAACATCAGCTTGTTAGCATGCTGATCTTAGCTGCCATGACTGTAGACTCTTTGTCTTATTAATGTATTTCCATGTGAGAACCTCAAGACGCACCTAAAGCTATCAGCATTGCAACTGTCAGATTTATTTCAAATCATGAATTTGGTTAGATTTTCCTCCTCCGCTACAACAAATTGCCATCTATGTCTGCAGTGATGAAAGTATTTCTTCAAATGCTTCAGGACTTTTATGACTTTGTCTTCACGGCACTGTGGTCATCAAAAGGAAATTACTATCAGTAAATCAAACAT